TATATATATATGTATGTATATATTCTGGAGCTCTCTGGAGCTCCAGAGCTCGGGCCGGCACTTGCCACGATCCACGAAGTCCCCATTGAAGACACAGCGAGGGCAGTCTTGGGTCCCAGGCCTCGGGAAGCGCAAGCAACGACGCATTGGGGAGTTTAGAGCAAGACGCCTGCTGCAAGAAGAACACATCTAAACCAGGAACTGTGATTCGACTATGATTTTTACTGTACCACCAAAATGAAGTGCATGAGGAGGAGGAGAAGGATGGAGCCCGATGACAGCGGCCGTCATCAGAGCTCGTGGTGGGGTTGTCGTCGATGCTTACTGATCGGCAAAACTCTCCGGAACAAACGGAGCACTCCCAGCACCGAAATCCAAAGCCTCGAAGGTACCCAGTGCTTTCCGGACGTTCACTCGGCAAGCTGGAATCTTTCTCGTTGTCGGGGCTCCGGCATGCCGAAGGAGTGGAACCTTGGATTCGGGTAGAAGCATCAGATTAAGAAGACTTTTGCCATAAAAGCTTTTACTTTGGCTCCTGAGCTCCCACACAGAAGGAGCAAGTCTCGCAGCTGCCCGTGGATGTCGCCGAATATCTTGCAAGGTACCTCTACCTGTGCAGTCCAGGCTAGCACGAGCCGTTTCTGTCGGGCTTCTTTGCATGCCTCTGTGAGCGACGGCTGCGCCGCGAGGACGTGCTGGCACCCGTCGATCAAGGCGAGCGCACCTGGGTGCAAAAGAAATGGGCCGGCCACAATATCCACACTCTGCTGTGTGCATGAGCCTAGGGGCCCGGCTCTGGGCCGCCTCAGCCTCGCTCTCCGCTCCTAGTAGCCGCAACCTCAAAGACGCAACCCCCTGCCGGGCCCCGGCGGTTTGGGTTTGGGGAGTCGGTGTTGAAGCTTTGGCTCCCGACAGCACGTTCCCGGAATCCCAGCGATTGTGCTCCACATCCTGTCATGGGATTTCGACCCGGTGTTCCAAGCCCAAGCCCAACGGATGTTGCTTCCACAAGCTTCGCCTCTTCCTGCGCCACTTCGGGTGCCAGCTTTTGGAGCTCGGAGTACACCTGCCCCCGTGGCTAAAGTACTGAGAAGGCAAGCTGTGTCTACACGCCTCGTGTTGTTTCTGGCTGTGTCTACACGGCCCGTGCTATTTTTGCCGATAAAGTATCAGATAGAGCTGAGGGAGAGAGGAGGAGAGACCAGGGCAGCAGCGTTGAAAGTCCCGCAATGGGGCGAAGGGCCCCGAGAAGCAAAGGAATTCTCCCGTGGAGTCTGTGGCGGCCTGGCCTGCCGTGCCGCCTTGGTGCAGGCCGCCTGGCAAAGTACGTCTGCAAAGCCTTGAAGACAGTGTGTGACTAGGGAGCCCTGTATGGCCCGATTACGAAACCGTCCTCGGCTTCGAGGGCCGACCTGATGCACACTAAAAAACTGGCAGGTGAGTTTCAGTAGTCAGCGTTGCACCAGAGCGACAAAACTCACCGTTAAAGACATGAGTCCCTGCTCTCCCGTTTTGCTCTTGGCACCGGGCCGAGTCCTTCTCTCATGGATCACGCGCTTCGGCACCTCTTGCACCTGCCTCGGTGTGATGAGAAAAAGCGCAATTGTGGGTTGGTGGAGGTTGAGGTATAGGTTGTTATGGTTTGGGTGCTACGGGGTTGCGTGGTTGGAAAATGGAAATGGCGGTACCTGCTCACTTACAGTAGGTAGTAAAAAGGGGCTCTCTCGGGAAGGGGAATGGCACGGGCCCGCTTCCTGCACCAGAACGCTGGCTTGGCACCAACATGATCAGGAGAGTGCAGGAAAAGATACAGGTACCGCATAGGGTAGGGAGAGCAGGGTGAGGCAGCGTAGGGTGAGGCAAGGGTAGGGTAGGTAGGGCGGGTAGGGTTTGCAGGGTGATAGACCAGTGAGATGCGCGGTCCTTCACCTTCTGGGGTTCCCGACACCTCTCCGGTCTCGTAGTCGAGGTAGTCATACTCTCGATGGATATAGACCTGGCTCTATCTGGCTCTGTCAAGAGCTCAGACTGTCGGCTGCGAGGAGCGGAGGCAGGGCAGGAAGCAAGCCGGCCCGACCGATGGGCCACAGTCCTCCCAGGCATGTCAGGACATGTCGGAGATACACGCTTGCAACATCCCAGATGTGTGCCTTGCAGACGGGGATGTGGCAATGGGCGCACACGAAGTGCATCTCACCCGCCCTTGGCATACAAAACCATCATCAAAGGGAACACTGCCGTGCTCTGCACGATTGCTGCAGGAGTGCTTCGTCCAGTCCAGAGGAAGTCACACTGATGACAGCTGAATCTATCGATTCAGCCGTTCGACCAAGCCCGACGCAGGATGTCCCCCTCGCAGCGCGAGCACTCCTGACAGGAATCCGACAGGAAGGGACGAGGACCAGTCGCGCAGAAGACACGCCTTCGTGGGGCTGCACATCAGGAACGTCTGATAAGTCGGCAGACGGGCATAGCGGTGCAAGGGCCGTCCTGGCTTGATACCACTGCCACTGATAGGTCTCACAAAACTCGAGGATTGAATCAGCCTAACAGCTCCCAACTCCTGGCCGAAGCCCTAAAGAGTCTGCAAGACATCTCGGCGCCCCGGCCGCATTCGCAGAGCGCCCGATGGTTACTGCTTGGCGGCTTCACGCCCTCCTCCACTCTCCTGCAGGCTCGGGGCTCAAGCCGGAACTCCTGGCCTGAAGGCCTACAGGGCCTACAGCGCCTATAGTTCAGGGGTTTAGGAGTTTAGGGGTTTAGGGTCAAGCTTCAGGGTTTAGGTAGGGTTTAGGGTTTAGGGTGCAGCGCAGAGCAGAGCGAGTGTCGAGTCTCTCGCAACTTCGCTCCTTGTAGCCTCGTCCCAATCAACTTCATCTTCGAGAACATCCTTTTGCGGGCTTGCAACAGGGCACCACATGCCACTGGGTTCTCTCCTGCTGCAGCCTTGCAGTATGCCTGCACGGACAAACTGGAAAGGGGCCCGCCTCGTAAATTTTGCAAGCCATGCTTTGCATCAGATCAGCTGGAGCAAAGCAAACTATAAAGTGTCAAGTGTTGCACTTACACATGCTGCAGGTAGCTGTCAACGGCTGTGATTGGAAGCTAAGACGTCTGAAGGACTTCGGCCGTGCTCCGCATGCGGCGTTACTAAAGTGATTACTCAAAAAAAGGATAAGAGCCGCAACTGGCGGGCACTCTCATGCATCCAGTTGGACACATGTTCAGGCTACCATGCCAGAAGGCCGACATGCCGCTCTTCGTACTGCTCCTGGGTACTCTCCTCTCAGGATCGTAGCTTCACACAGTAGCTGCGGCACTTTTCATCCCGGAAAGGTCGCGGCTTGTCGTGTCGAAAGGCCTAGGGGAAAAATGCCTTCGGCATCGGTCCACGGTAACACAAAAACACGCTCATTATCAACACTGATCTGGCAGACAGGCGACTGTTTCTCATGTTGCTGCTCTAGCCATGTATGTTGCCTCTGTGGCCGCATAACCCTTCATGCCATGATGACGAAGGTCTAGTGCACCTCATTGAATCCAGTCATCTCTTCCGTCTTTTTCCTGACAGGAAGAAGCATCTTGCTCCATGCCATTCCAAAACACGTGACATGCAGCTTGTTCCCAAAACCGGTGCATGATGGCTCCTTTACACGGCTACATGAAGTGCAACCACAATCTTCAGACCGGGCCTGGCATTTAGAAGCCGTTACGTCCCCAAACCACGAGCGCAATGGACATGGAGAACATCGACAGCAGCACCACCTCTGGCGATTTCGGAGTGAGATGACGAAGGACCACTGCGACATCTGAGTGACCTGTTCCTGTGCTACCGTAGAAGACGAGATTTGCGAGATTTGCTACTGCAGAGAGAGCAATCTCTCATCAAGTGTACTGGTGTGAAGACTCTTCCTGGGCTCTCGGCGAAGGTGATGTTGGGGTTCTCAAGCGGGGACAGATCCGCCAAGGCAACGCTGCTGGCAATCTCCGGGACCTGAATACAGGATCTCAATGGGGAGTCCGGACATGTTAGGGATCTTTGTGCAACTTCGGGTGTCGATCTTAACCTTGTCAGGGCCCATTGCTCTCATTCCCACTCCCGTCCGCCGACCTGAGAAGCCGCAGAATGCGCGGCGCTGGCCACTTCTGGAGCCTGCGCGAGCCGACTCCCCCGGAGGCAGCACCGCTGCTCCCGCTCCGCTGCGCTTGGGCACCTGGACCAGCGGTCCCACGAAGGCCGGGGCGCAGAGCAGCCACGCCTGGGAGATGAAGCTTTATCATCAAGGCAGGCAGGCCGTCGATGTTAAAGCAAGACAGTAGCAGGAGCAGCACACGCAATAACAGCAGCAGGACAAGTAGCGGAGTAGCATCAGTGACTCTAGGGGCCGGTCGTGGTAGTGGCAGTGGCATTGGCACTGGCAGTGGTAGTGGGAGTGCTAGTGGTAGTGGCAGTGGCTATGGCAGTGGGAAGCGGAGCATCAACAGCAGCAGCAGTTGACTTTTAGATTGCTGTTGCAGGTGCTGTCGCTGCTCCTGCTCCTTCTCCTGCTGCTCGTGTACCTGCTGCTCCTGCTGCCTGCTGCTGCTGCCTGCTGCTGCTGCCTGCTGCTGCTGCTGCTGCTGCTGCTGCCGCTGCCTGCTNNCCCCCCCCCCCCCCCCCCCACAGCGCTGGGGCCCTGACGCAGAGGGCAAGACCGATCACAGCCAGGGGAGAGCGTCGCCTGGAGACCGGCTCTCAGGCCCCCTACATTAACCTGCCTCCTTATGGCCTTTTCAATTAAAAATGACAACTTTTCTCGGCCTCTCCGTCCTCTTTTCTACATCTGCGACTGATCGGGGAAGCGAAACAGAACCCGAATGCCCTGATACCACGGAAACCATGGATCCCGAAATAGCCCATGAAGTGGACCACAAGGGGCAACACGCTAGTTATGGCCAAGTCTTTGGCAAATTGTCCTGACGGCCTTTCAGTGAGTGCTCACAAGCCCTGACTCAGACGCAGACGCCATTGCAGAGCTGCAGGACGTCCAGAGGCTTCGGTACTTGCGGCGTGAGACGGCTGGGAATAGCATTTCATGCATCTGGAGGAGCTGGCAACCGCTGGAAACTCTCAACCCGATGCACTTTCCAGTCAGCTGCAACGCCATTGCTTTTCTCCTGGAGCGCCC